GTCACACAGAAAGAAGTTTCATGCAGCCCCACGTGCCAGGCTCTATGCGAAGCTCTTCTCATGAATCATTTCATTCAGTCTTCTCAACAGCATTACCAAGTATGCATTAACAGCTGCATTTTGTTCCTTAGTGAAAAAGGAGTGTTACTTCCTATCGGTTAGAATCTAGGTCCGCTTGGTTCCACTTTCTTTACTGTCTTAGAGTGAGGAAGAGTATATAAATGGAATCACAAGCTAAAGTATTCTTTTCCATAGAGTGTGATGGGTATAGGAGTGTTAGACAATAATTCAGTTAAAGTATTTTAATTACAGTATAAATACCTAAAACATGAATTTTTGTGACACCAATTTTTGAGCGCTATACAAACATCTTAATAACCAAGCAACCCTTGGTACAAGTAGTTCAGTGGCTCAATCTACTTTAGTCTTCTAAAGCCTGGTCAGTAAAGAACAGCTCATGAACCCAATCCTACCCACTCCCTGGTTTCGTGAAGCCCACAAGCTAAGAATGTTTGTATACTTTTTAATGGTTGAAAAAAATTAAGTCTTTTGTGACACATCATAAGTACATAAAATTCAAATGTCGAGGCCCATAAATAAAAGCTTTTTAGAAGACAGCCAGGCTCATTTGTTTACATTTTCTATGGCCGCTTTCATGCCACAACTGCAGAGTTGAGAAGTTGTGGCAGAAACCGGACAGTGTGTGAAGTCTCTGATATGGACTATCTGGGCTTTTAGAGAAAATAGCTTGCTGACCCCTGTTCTGTGCCACTTACACATTCAAGTGTGATTTGGGTTTCTACATTTTTTTTCTATGAAACTCTGAAGAAATTTTAAAGTTTTTCTTCAGAAATAACACTATAGTAGTCTTGCTCTGAAAAAATGTTGACGGCCTGGGCTGATCTAAAATGACACCATTAGGTTACAGGTACAGTGCTTAGTCCAGCTTGAAAGTAGGTCTCCCTCCCTCATCTAAATACATTAGAGTTACCTCTAGATGGTAAAGCTGGGCCTTACTACCAACCTGTCCCGTTATTCATCTTGACTGTGTTATGGGTTTAGTTTCACAACATTATGAGTTCATCCAGGCTTCTTGAATCATTTATAGGGGTTTTCATCTTTGCTCTCAAACTCTCACACTTTCTCTGCTGTGGATTTTTTTTTCAACATAAAGCTCAAAGTACAAAATGGTCTACACATGTAAAATAAAGCCTGTTTTTTTTTTTTGTTTTTTTTTTAGCTTTCAACTTTAAGAAATAAAAAATTTAAAAAATTGCCTAAAAATGTTTTTTTTCTTGGGAAACTAAACTTCACGGTACAGGTCATAGGAGAAAATACCTTCCTATTCAATGATCTCAAAGCACCTCTGGTGGAGAGATATAACAAGGTAAAGAACATCTATTTATTTTTAAATACTGTTTACTTCTTGGGGGCAATACTGTTTAATGGAAAATATAAGACCAGTAAGAAATAAGAGTCTGAGGCTATTTCAGTTCTGCCAATGACTCAGTTTGACTTTGGGCAAATCCTTTTACCACTGTTGCTCTTTATCTGCAAAAACTGGACTTCATGCCTATGGGAGTTGCATGGCTAATCAATGCCTGGAAAATGCGTAGTGGCAGATGCTACAAAAGTGCTGAGCCTTAAAAACAAAACCACCGCCACCCCCCATTCGTATTCAGTTGAGGTTGAGGTTTATTGTTATTTAACATTCGAAGGCCAACACTATGTGAAGTCCAGCGTGCTGCACAGGGCAGATAATATCACTGTCCAGTAGTAATAGTCTTTTTTAAATCTAGAATTTTGGACTTTTCCCCCCTTTATTGTGGTTTGGGGTTATTTTAGAATCCAGTAGTATATCTACACAAAAAACATTAAGCTTTAAGTTGAAAACTATCAATTTAAAAATCTAAATAAACCCCCTCCAAAAAAATTTAAAAGGCCCTCCCCGCCCCGCCAAGAAACCTCTCAAAACAAGAATTCTTCTGATGTTTTTTTTCCCTTTCCTGCAGTTCTCCATGTTACAGTCCTTGGAGGTAGAACAGGCATAAAATACTTTCACTAATAAAATATGACAAACCGCCGGATTATACGTGGCCGATTCCCAGCGATTGCCCTGCTACACAAAGCAGAAAAGTAAATGCCATCATCCCCCTTAGAACAAAAGAACTTAGGAATAAAAAACATGGAGAGGGGGGAGAAAGCAGCAATAAATAAAGGTGAGCGAAGGACCCCGTCCCCCGCCCCTGCCCAAAGCGAATGTGGGACTAAGTACGGCTAATAAAGTGGTTCAAGGGTAGTTATTTGGAAAGGGGGCGGGGTGGCGAGGGGGGAAGGAGCGGGCGAGCGGCGACCCGGGATTGCATGTTGCATTCGACTTGAGGTTGCATCTTTCTCCTGTTGCCTGGACCACGCTCCCCCATTGCAGTGCTTCCCCGTCGCTTCTCGTCGCTCCGGCTCTCGCGGCTTTTTTCTCCCACCCTCAAAACTGCTGTTGCACTGGAGGGAGTTGGGGCCGCTCCGGAGCCCCTTTGCAGCTCCTGCCGGCGGGAGGGGCAGTTGGGCTCTGGTCGCGGAGTTGGGGGGGCTGCAGCCGACTCCGGCCTCGCCTCGGCTGCAGCTACACAAGAGCCGAGCTGCAGCGCTGCACCGGCTCATTATTGCGGCGGCAGCGGAGTTTGGCCGCCGCTGCTCCGTGCTCAGCCCCATCACCGCCGCCGCCACTGCACTGGAGTTTGGCTGCTGCTGCCCTACTTCACTCTAGTTTAGTTTCACTCACTTTACATCCGGGTTTTTTCCCTAGGCAATGGGGGCCGCAGCACACCCCGTTCCTTAGGCAAAGTGAAATAAATTCGCCGCACCGACACGTCAAGTAGTCCGCCTGCCCGAGCGCCGCCGCGGGCCCCCGCTGCCCCCCCCCCCACGCCCCGCCGCCGCCCCGTCACCCCTGGTGGGGCCAGTGTGTTCAGGGAGCCGCGGGCGGAGGCGCGGGGGCCCGGACCGGCCGCTGAGTAACTCCGCCCGGCTGCCCCCTCCCTCCCCGCCTTGCCCCTTTACCCCAGTGCCTCCTCTACCCCCGCCCTCGTCCCCGCTTTCCCAGCCCCAGTCCCTCTTGCCCAGCTCTCGGGAGCGGCGGGGACGCGCACGGCGGCGGCGGCGGCAGGCCGGCGGGGCCGCGCGGCGGGCTCCCGCGCGGGCGAGTGTGTCTGGGCCTGGGCGGAGGGATCCCCGGGCTGAGGCGGCGGAGGTGCTGCGGCCCGGGGCCGGGTGGTGAATGGGCTGGTGGTGCTCGCTGCTGCTGCTGAGAGGAGGAGGAGGATGAAGAGTTGGGCTTGTTTGTCTCCCACAGTTTCTCTCCTGCTGCTCTGATTTCCCCCCTCCTATTCCGGCCCAGGGCCTGTGTGTGTCCCTCCTGGAGGAGGAGGAGGATCCAGTTCCTCCCCCCCACCCCCTCCTCCCCACCCCCCCTTTGCCTGGGGAAGAGGAGGAAAGAAACAGCCCAGAGAGAGAGAGAGAGAGAGAGAGACAGAGAGTGAGTGAGAGAGAGCGAGAGGAGGAGGAGGAGGGAGAAGGGAACAACCTACCATCTTAACACACTAATATCTAAAAAGTGCGAGAGGCCCAGAGCAGCAGCAGAAGCAGCAGCAGCAGCTCCAGCTTCTTCCCTCCCTCCCCATGAAGAAGAGTTCCCTCCTCCTCCTCCTCCTGCTTCTCCTGCTCAGAGTTCCTGCCTCCAGCTGCCAGGGGGGACTGCCAGCCAGCAGGAGGGTGCAGTATCCCAGCTTTTCCATTCTCTCTTCTCCTCACTCTCCTCTCTCTCTCTCTCTTTTTTTTCTTGAGTAGCTCTATTTCCCCTCCCTCCCCCTTCCCCCTCTCCCCTCCTTCCCCTCTCCCTCTCTCTGTCTTGTCTCTGGTATTTGTCTCTGGGAGGAACAGGGGCTGCTTGCCTGGAGTTTGTTGTGGGGGGAGGGGAGGGGTGTGTGGGAGGGAGGAGGAAAAGGGGGGTGTTCTCACCAGGACCCCGCAGTCAACTTGAGATTTGAGCAATAACTTCCCCTTCGGGGCGCCCCCCTGCGTGCCCTTCCTATTCCTCCCCCCCTAAAAAAAAGACAATGGAAAAATCTTGTCTCCCCCCCTTCTTCCCCTCTGCCCTCCACCCCTCCCCAGGATAAATTGGAAGTAAGTTTATGAGCAGCCTCGGGAGCCTGGGCGCTGAGTGCAGGGCCGGAGCGGGTGACAGAGGCGGCGCGCCGGGGGTGGCGGGGAGGGGGCGTCACATTGTCCCAGTTGGGGGCCGGGGAGGGGGCCACTGGCGGGGGCGGGGGGCGCGGAGCCTTGTCCGCCCCCTTTGGCAGTCCCTCCGCCCAAGGATGGTCGCCTTGGCTCTCTCATCACCCTCCCCCCTCCCCGCGATGCTGTCGGGGGGAAGTTTTTATTATGATTATTTATTTAATTTTTTTTTTTTTGAAAACCATCTTGTTTGGTGACTGAGGGATCTGGTTATAAAAAAAAAAAAAAGCTGCGGCTGCTGACGCTGCCGGGCCCGAATGTGTGTGTGTGTTGGTGCATTTGTCTTGGGTAGCCGGAGAAGCGTTGGGGAAATTCCGCTTATTCTTCTTCTTCTGCAACTTGTTATTCCGGAGAGTCAGCCTGCACCCCTCACCCCGGGGCCGGCCCTCCCGCACTCGCCCCCGCCGCCCGCGGCCGCGGGGCGCCCCCGGGACCCCGTGCGGGCCGGGGTTGGCAGGCCGCTCAGAGAGGGGCTGCGGCCGCCCCTCCCCCGCCCGCGCCCCCGCCGAGGGGGGGGAGGGGCGCGCGGAGTGGGACTCTTTCCGTTTGGTCCAGCCCCGTCGTGCACGCAGTTCCCAACACTTCTCGTCATCCTGTCTTTGGTCTCTTTATTCTGCTGAGCGGTGCTGTTAGGATTTCTTTTTTTTTTTTTTTTTTTTTTTTTTCCTTTTCCCTGACCACGTTCGCTATGGTGGGTAGCAGCAAGGTGGCACTGTTAGGGGAGGGGTTGGTATCTAGATTTGGGCACCGGGGGAAGAATGTCTCCTTTCAACTTTGTCTGGTTTGCACCCCCGGAGAAGGCCACACGCCGGTTGTGGGGTGCAGATGTGCCGAGAGTGATTTCTAAGTAGTTGAGTTGTTGAGATGAGGATACGGCTGCTAATGGTAGGCAGGTTTTGTTTTCATTGGTGAATGTAGTGTCATCATATTCTGGTCATATGTTGAAATATTCTTTGTTTAGGTCTTGAAGTAGGGAATCTCACTCTGCACGTCCACATCGTGTTGTTTTTAAATGTCTCTGCATGTATGGCTTTCTAGAATATCAAACGTGAGTTAAGGTCCGGGCCTGTGTGGGCCTCAGCACTGGCCTTGACAGTGAACTTTGTGGCTGTGTTTTGGATTTCAAAGATTTGCCCTACAGTAGAGGAGCGAGCTGTTCATTTTTGTTAATAGTAAGTGTTAGGAATGTAGATGCTTTAGCTGGGGACTTTAGAGAAGGAAGAACATTTATATATTAATAATTGATAGCTGAATATTAGAATCGGATTAATTTGGGCTGATGAAAGTTTTTTTTTTTTTAAAGCAGTGTGCACTCTAGGAAGGAAGCGTTTTCATAGGCATACTTTATAGGGGTTCTTTAGGGCAGAGAGCTGGAATATCTCCTTTTACAGAGGATACTCATCAACATCCGTTGTTTCACTGAGGGCCTGGTAAAGGGATTGGAATTGGGTCTAAGTGTACTTTTCAGTGTTTATGTTGTTTGTTTACATTTGATGTTCACTCATGTTTGGGCAGTAGAAATAAATAGGTCAGCTTTTCTTTTGGTTTTGAAGACCAGCCCCTCCCCCCCTTTTTAAGTTTCACAATCTACTTGGTTTCACGGTATTGTAGGAGACTTACTCCATTTTTACTGGAAATACTATTATTCATTTTGCTTTTGGTAAGTGCCTGCCTATTCCCTTTTTCTGGCTCCATTTGTATATGGATCTGCATCATGGGCTTAAAGTGAGCTGTAGGTGCTATTTAAAATGTCTGAAGAATGTATTTTAAAATCTCAGGACATAACTTTTGATGGCAAAGAGGACATTTTTGTGTAGTTACTCACATGTATAAAAATATTTTTGTATTTAAAACATGTAGATGTACAACTATCTCTGTTTATAAAAAAATTTCTGTACTTAAAATTTTCTGTAGATGTACAACTACCCTTAAGTGAAGAGCGTGGTAATAGCGCAGAAAATTCTGAAAACACAAACTTCTGGCTAACATGTTACAAATATTTGAGGTGCTTTTCTTTACGTTAGACGTTTGCTTTTGTTTAACATAATAATAGTATTTGCAGTATGACTGGCATTGTTTGGCTGGCCATAATCGTCTTTTGCTTGACTGCTTTTGATGACTTTTTAAGTTTTTAGATAATTTTACAAGCTTTCTTTAAGCATTTTGCACTTTGGACCCAGGCAGGTCTTTATGGAATTGGAATAGTAATAGGTTAAGACGACTCCTACCTATGCCAAATTTTATTTTTAAGAGGTGTAAGTGATGGACGGGGCCCTATTTCTTTTAGCTTTGAAGGCTCCATCCTCTTTCCCATTCAGTCATCTGGAAGGAGCTGCCTCAGAAATCTTCTTCTGCTTACATGAAGAGCTCTAAATGCTATCCAGCAGGAGGTGCTACAGCAAGATAAAGCAAATCTCAGAATTTTGAGGGTCTTGCTCCTTATGACAGCTCCACTTAGCTTCAACTAAGCAACAGGATTAACACCCTAAAGTTCCAGAAAGATTTTGAGTAAGTCCATTTAAAAATTCCATTAATAAATTGCACTTGCTGTTTAAACCTGAAATCTTTGACGGCTCTTTACCTGCTTACAATATTACATAAAGTAGATTTGTTATTGTGGATACCTTAAGGATGCTGTGCCTAGTTACAGAGTGCTGTTAGAATTATGTTATTGTGGAGTTAGAATGATTTTATTTTGGAGTTATTCTTGGAATTATTTTATTTTGGAGTTGTGTGCAATGGGTATACACAAAAGTAGTTGGTATGACTTGGGACATTTTGTAATCATCCCCATAATCTTAATACAGATAGGATTTAGAGTGCCTGAGTTTTGGAAAGGGAGATACTGTATGGAGAAAATTATACTTTTTTAGTGTTTATTTTTTCTTGGACAGCTATCTTAATGGATAAATTCTTAGGTGCTCAGCTTTCTAAATACATATGGTTGATGTATTTGAATTGGCCTCCAAAGGTTGAAACTCTTGAACTATGAGTAAAGTTGTATTTGTGGGCATAGATCATCAGTTTGTTGATGATATATCCGATAGTAGTACTAACTCCATAAAGACAAAAGAAGTTTCATAGCATTTATAGTACATGGTTGTTTGAAACTCTTGTTAGTGTTAGGTGAATTGATTGCCCACTGGAAATATGCTATTTGGTGGCTTGTAAAGTTTTATATTAAACTTTAAAAACTTAGGGATGTATAGAAAATTTGATAAACCTGCTTTGAATTTTGTCTGTTTTCTAGACATAAGGCTGTAGTTTAACTCAGTAAGATCAAGTGATATAATACATGTGCAGGGCCTTTGTAAATTGTCAGGAGCCATGCAGATGTTAAGTTGTTGATATGGGTAACTAATTAATATATGGACAGAAGCTTCTGTCTTTAAAATGTTAACTTTCTCCATCATTTGCGGAATGAGTGCATTAAAAGTGCACCTCGAACACCTTAAGATTTTTTTTTCTAGTACTGCTGTGGTTACCAAAAAGCTCTTTGTTACAGTTTTGAAGCTTTGTTTAAAAAATGCTGCCTAAGCAGTTTCTCACAATTCAAGAAAAAGATTATTTTTCCTTTTGTAGATCTCGTGAAATGTGTATCTCCTATTAAAGTTTTTCTTCGTTTCTCCAGTGATGTTACAGTAGTTGATTTTAGTGAGTATTTAAATTCTCAATTCTTCTGTAGACTCTCATTAACACACAGAGTAACAGATGTCACAGTTAAGGTTTTGGTTGTTTTGATTGATACTGCTAACTTTGTGAAAAATTCTTCCTAAATCTTTCAGACTTGTTTCAAAGTGAAAAAGATAATATACTTGTATGAATTAATATTAAGTACATGTATATATCTGTATTTTTCTGTTTTAGAGGAGTGCATGAGGAAATGACAATTCAAATCTGGAGGGGTACAGTGAAATATTTTTGTGTAAAAATAACTCAAAAAGTTTAATGCTTAGAGGCTTGAGCTGTGGCTTTCTTAATAGACTGTTCACAAATTTTGACTGAAATAAAATAAAATATAGATAATTGAGAGCCCCTATGTTTATGAGCATATTTTAAATTTTAGAAGTGACTGTTCTTTATGAACTAACCCCAATTAGTTATTAAATGTACAAACTTGCTTCTGTGAGGAATGACAGAAACATTTAACTATTTGGATACAAATGAAACCTCTTAGGGTAATACTAACTTTTCATCCCACAGACAGTGAATACCAAAGCCTTTCTTGAGGAAATACTGAAGTTAAGGTTATATTAATGTGCTTTTAAATTTTGTATCTTTAGTGTCTTATTGCTGAAGGCTTTTGTATTTAATTACTATTCAAAGGGAGGAAAGGAAGAGATTAAAGTTTTAGGTTTCTAACCTTTGACAGCATTCCTTCATATCTATATTCAGAGCTGATTTCTTGAAACATGTTTGAATCTTCATATTAATATGTGCTGGGAAATATTAATGATTTGTGTTAACTTCTCAAGAACTTTTGTACATGGGCTTTTTTGTAGGCTCTACATATTCTGAGGGAATATAGCAATATATTCTGATCACTTTTAACTTTACCAGTAGTGTATTTTTGCTGCTTTGAGATTTTTAAGAGGTAATTTGTTAAAAGTGCATTAAATTTATTATAGACAGTTATTTCTTAAATAGCATATGCTTTGTTCTTTGTGTTTGGGTGTATATGTGGCCATATTGCTTTATAGGCTTTCACGTAATTCTTACTTGTATATTACATTTTTTGAGCAGTTATCTTTTATAAGAATGTGGAAATAGACTTTTAAAAATAACTTATATTACTTGTCTGTCACTTCAGTCTTAACACTGGAGTGGTTGTAAACTCTTCCCTTTTAGAGATAATAAGTGAGATTCATTCATCCTTTGGGCTTTTCTGAAGCAACTTTCTTACACTAGACACTTGTTTGGAAGTTTGAATACCCCTCCATTTCTCTCTTCCTCCAATATACTGCAGCCACTGCCCGCCCCCCCCATCCCCACCACTTAAAAGAAAAAGATAGCAGGTCTCATTGAAGGAAACTTTTCCCTCTATATTTTGGAATCATCTGTGGAAGTGTTTTTCTGCTTTTTTTTTAAAGTTGACAGAAAAGTGAACTGGTAATGTAGAGATGGGGAGGCGATGGAGCCTAACAGGTTGTTGATCTAGGCTTTATTTTGACTCTGGTTGTGGGCCTAGGGGAGAAAAATAACTTAAACACAGAAGCCAAAAAGATGGGTTTTGTTTTATTGTTTTGGCTGCATTGAGAATACAAACTGTCAGTACTTGAGGAGAAGGAGCAGCAGAAAGGAATTGATTTTTTTCTGCTGCAGATCCAAGTATTGTTAACCATGTGCATCTCTAAGGCAGCCTACTTACAAGTCAAACAATCGTTGATTTTTTCACTCAATTAACAGTAAGACCCTTCAACTGATTTTTAAAAAAATTTTAAATAAGTACCAAAAACTTCAGAGTAACGACAATAATTTCTTGATAAAAGTGGGTGATAGTAACCATGGCAACTGCTATCTCTGGCCTTATGGACAGTATGTTGTATTGATGAAGCTTCAGATCCTGTTGTAGCCTGTCACTTTTATGGTGAAATGTAGTAGCATGTGTTGCAGGTGATTTTTAGCTGGATTGTGTTGAATTTGTTTGCGAGCTTATCTTTTCTTGTTAAAAATTTCTTGGACTCTGTTCCACAGCATGTTTGTGACGGTGCTGTTGCCTGAAAATAACCCACCACCTGTGTTAGGCCTCCTGATGCAGATTGCACTTAGTTCTTTCCCTGCCCCCTCCTTTAGTCTCGCAGAAAGTAGGGGTGAGTGTAGATCCATATACACATGATGGCAGCTTTAATTATCTGCTTGCGTTTGGACATGTGATCGATAGCTTTTTAAAAATCTTTGTTTTTTAGAAGAGGTTTGCGGATGAGAGAAATGGGTCTATACTTGGAAATTTTTTTCTAAGGTTCTTCCAGAAGCAGGTGTGTGTGTGTGTGTGTGTGTGCAAATATGTGTGTGTAATGAAGGGTGAAAGTGGAGGGAATAAATTTTGAGTAAGGACTTAACAAAAGAGGAAGTTACAGTTTTTTGGTGTGTGAGATAGTGTCTTGGACATGTATTACTATAGGAATCTCTTTCCTAATGGGCAGTATTAAAGTATGGGGAATGTTTTCTTATGAGAATTGTCTTTAAGAAAAATCGTTTATAAAACATAACTTGAAAGACTGTTAAGAGAAAACTCAGTAAAACAAAGTCTTTTATTTTGGGAGTAGGCAAGAGAGCTTTGAAATGGATTCAGGTAAACGTTAAGGAGGTTGTTTCAAAAATTATGTTTTTAAATATAATTTTGAAATTCAAACTTTTTGCTTTTTAAGTATTTATTTTTTAAAGCATTTCTTTGATATACTTATCCTGTATATGGTTTTTCTAATGTGAAAATATTGAGCTAAATTTAAATTGATACTTTTTTCATTATGTGCTAAAGAAATTGTGCCAGAGCAGAATACGAACGAATTAGATCTGAATTTGACTAACCCTGATAATAAGACTTAGTCAGATTGTGCTGGATGGTTCAGACTTTGTTGAAACTTAACTGTGTAGAGAGTAAAGAAGTGATTTCCTTAACTACAAGTCCCAGGATGCACTGCGGGTTTGGGTGCTTTTTATTTATTTATTTATTTTTTTGCTTAACTCCAGAATAGAGCATTGCATGCTGGGTCCTGTAGTTGATTTAAACAGCACAGGGAATCCTTCCCTCTTGTCTACTCCATTTTATACACATCTTCCCAAGCCTCTAACAACTTTCTGCTAAGTAAAGTTTGCTTGCTAATATGATGATTATGCTGCTGACATTCTAAAGTGAGTCTTCAGAAACATCCTAGTGTTTTAGTTTACCTTAGATTAGTTTGTTGTTTTTTTATCAGCTTCTGTAAGATTTATATGTAAAGTAACAGATATATATGTATATATATGTCTGTGTATATATATTGAAAACTCAGCAATTGTAATTTTTTTGTCTGTGATGATATAGGTCTCTATAATTACAGCATTACTAATTCCTAGTACAGGCCTTAGAAGCCTGTAATTGTAGGGCCTGATATGTATATGCTGTTCTCCTTTCTTTGAATGGGGACAGTTATTCAGTAAAGTTGGATAGAAGGGGTTTTTTTGTGTGCCAGTATTTAAGTTCAGAGTTTTTTCTGAGTCTTCTGTAATAATTGTCAACATCTCAAATCATAGTATTCTTTAAATGAAAGACAGATTCCCCAAAATAAATGTGGTTTTAGTGTAAATTTAATATTTAAAATATAGTCTTAAAGATACAGGAAAAGGTAAGGTTTCTTTAATTGTTTGTATTATCATTTTAAAAGTTTTAATTTATGTTCTTCTGAGGGCTCTAATACTTTATCAGTTATTATTAGAGTGTTGTTGGGGGGATTGAATGTTAAAAATCTGTGTAAGTGTTTAGCACAGTGCCTGGCACATAACAAAGGCTTAGTAAATGTTTAGAATTA